GGGCATCAGCATGGCAATACAAGCATGGTTTTACAGGTAAGCTGTTACAGATATAGCTCAATGGGCACGGCGTCACAGGTACAGTATAGCACTAAGGGCACATTGTTACAGGAATGGAACTACAGGTATAGCACTACGAATACGGTGTTACAGGCACACTTCTACAGGAATAGCGCTATGGATACAGTGTTACAGGCACACTTCTACAGGAATAGCGCTATGGATACAGTGTTACAGGCACACTTCTACAGGAATAGCGCTATGGATACAGTGTTACAGGCACAGTTTTACAGGTATAGCACTACGGATACAGTGTTACAGGCACACTTATGTGCTATGGGCACGGCATTACAGGTATAGTATTACGAGTACAGCCTTATGGGCATAAACTTACAGGGATAGTGTTACGGGTACCGCAGTATGGGCAAGTCGTTATGGCCACGATGTTACAGGCACAGTGCCATGGGCATAGCTCTCTATGCTTGTCTGAGTGCAGCAACACCCCCGTACCGTGTTAGCGCACTGCCAATCTGCATGCGCAAAGCCTCCCACTGCTCCCTGCTGCTCCAGGATACATCGTCGGAGCCCCGCCCCATCTCAGGCTCCGCCTCCATGCCAGCCAACCTCCCACCCAGCTTGAGGGCCATGGTGTCTTTGCGCTTCACCTTGCTGGCCAAGGCACCTGTTGCAGACAAACACACAGATCAGACCCATACGTTTCATCATTCACACTCCACAGGCATCCGTCTCATCATACTGGGAGCCAGTCCTCCTGTCCCTGACTGGTCCTTGTGCTAAATGTCACCAATACTACCAAAGAGGGGCAAAGTCAACCAAGAGCAATAGTTATTCCCTTAAAAACCATGGCCAGTCAGAGGCCTGTATGGGACTTCAGCTACTTCTACCAGTCCCATCCTGCCTGGGACAAAGTTTGAGATTTCCATTGTGAAAGACATTCAAAGTGATGGACGAGTGAGGCAAATTGCACATTACAAACATATGGCTGTCAACAAGTCAACTAGGCATAAGTGCAGCTAGGCTGTGCAGTGAATGTCCAGGTACAGGTGTAAGCAGGATTGGAGCAGGAGCTACACAACAACTTCAACAAAGCAAGAACCTAATAAGACTATTCAGGGAATATAAAGAGACAATTAAAGTGATTGGTTAAAACTGCATGGATCCGTATTCGCGTTTTTTGCCCTCTTTGCTCCTCAGAATACCAGAAGTACCTACTTGATGTGGTATCGTCTTCCTCATCATCTTCCTCATCATCTTCCTCCTCACTCCTGTAGCACACTGGTCCCTCATCTTCGCTGTCGGAGTCTTCAGGGATAGCGGCCACACCAGGGTCCACCACCAGCCCATGGCGACTCCGCGGCCCGAGCCCCCACTCTGACATCTGCTCACTCTCATCAAAGTCATCATCCTCAGGCCTGGGATGCCGAGACAGAGAAACATGGACATTATGCAAGGACTCAGAATCAAATACAGAGAATCAATGGACATTATCCAAGGACTCAGAATCAATGGACATTATCCAAGGACTCAGAATCAATGGACATTATCCAAGGACTCAGAATCAATNAGAATCAATGGACATTATCCAAGGACTCAGAATCAATGGACATTATCCAAGGACTCAGAATCAATGGACATTATCCAAGGACTCAGAATCAATAGACATTATCCAAGGACTAATCAAATACATTTCTCTTTCAGCTCTTGTGTGTCACACTAACTACGAGGTCTGACACAAAAAAAACAAGACAGTGCCTGTAACTTGTTCTATTTCACAAATTCTGAAAATCAACTACGATGTTCTTCAAAACAGTGCCCTTCTGAGTTGACACACAGCCAATGTTCAGAGTAAATCCAAACTGTCATCCTCAGCTACTGCTCAAACTCCCAACCGTCAGTCTTTTCTAATCACATCTCGCACTTTTGTCAATATTGTCACAGTTGTATGTAGACGGTTTGGGCAATCATCGTTTTCATGCTTCCGAAAATCATTTGTGCCATTCAAAAACATGTGCACAAGACCTGCAGTCTTAATTTTAAGCCTCAGTCAATTACTGAAAAGTTTCTGTCGCATATTTCTTCAACTTAACAAGAAACTTATTTACTTTTGCAATCCGACATTTTCGGGACGATGGTAAGAATATTTTTGAATATTTGAAGATGTGTCCACTTGCACCGAGTGAAGCGACTGAGCTGAGCCTTGTGACACTGACAGATCAGACCTCTTTGTTCCCAAGCTATAGGGTTAGTTTTGTTTTTTTGTGTGTGCTGGACCTCGTATATTTGTACGGGACATTATCAACCACATCATATGCGCATGCCTGAGGTTTCTATGTGACTTACAGGCGGATGGGCTCCAAGGTGACGGGCAGAAAGGACACACGACCCCCAGGGCCAGGCTGAATGTCTGGAGTCGCGTCAAACAGCAGAGAGTGGGCCCTTCCAGGCTTGCCTGCATTCAGCTCTGTTGGGCCAGGATGGATCAGTGCTTGCTGAATGCGGATGTGCAGAGGCGGCTGGCTGGGTGGTTCAGTTGTGGGACTGGGTGGGTTCTCTGGGGTAAAGGGACTAGGCATGGACTGAGAGATACTGGCAAAGTCAGTGCTGGGGGCAGTAACATAGACAGGGCTGGGGTTGGGCAGGATACGTGGGACTGGGACAGGCATTGGGACAGGCACTGGGACAGGCTTTGGGACAGGCTTTGGGACAGGCACTCGTGCAGGGCCAGTTTTAGGCAGGGGGGCTTCACTCTGGGCAGGTTGTGGGACAGACACTGGGACAGGGTCAGGAGGCTGACCAGTGGGGGGAAGAGGGTCAGGAGCAGAGCCAGATGATTGGTCTGGGGTGGAGACAGAAATTAGGGCAGGGCCAGTTTTAGAAATAGGGCTTGAGACAGGAGCTGCACTGAGACGAGACCGGGGAGGAGATGGAGGTATATGAGTGGGCAGCACAGAGGAGATGACAGCAGGATTCTGGGACTGAGCATCTCCCTTTGCATCCTCCGCCGACACAGCAGACGCAGGCTGGACCACGAGGGAGCTACGGACTGGAGTCGTCCTCTTGGGGGGCGTGGGTGCCGGGGCCCTGGCGGACGGCTGCAGGATAGTGCTGTCTGGTGGGGCATCTGAGGAGGAATACAAAGGAAAGTGAATTGTCATACACCACCGCGTTACAAAGTAACGAGCACTGGAATGGAGAGGACATCTGAGGAGGAATACAAAAGACTTGAAAATGAGAAAAAAAAAAAAAGATCTAAATCAGAAAACAAAAAATCTCAGTTGAAAAAATAATAAATATCAAAATATATAACAAAGTGAAAAATTTAAATAAAACATTTATTCAAAAATGATCCAGAATCAAATCAAAATTATATTTAAACAGAAAGACTTCCACTACACATTTTTAGTTTGAATACATAGCTGTGTTTTTTAATATTTAATGTTGAACTTTCGGTTTCAATTCTTTTTTTTCCAACTTAAAAAAACTATTGGCCCGGATTTAGCACCATAACAACTCAAGACTTTGTCTGTGACAATAAATGGAAGGGACTGTAGGTCATGAAGATGGGAGCTCCTCCATGCGTCCCTCCAGTCTGGGCCAAAGGTAGAACTTCTGGGCCAAGCTCAAAGACCCAAACTACTGACACTAAGGCTGGGCAATATATCGATAAAATGTTATATCATGATTATATCATCATCATCAATAACGTGACTATCATAGCCTAAGCACTTGTTTTCTTCTAGTTGCAATGCACTATTTTTACACAAACTCCATCAAGGTATGAGTCAGTTATTGACGTAATTTATCCATATACCTGTCACATGCTCCATAACATTTAATAAAACTATTTAGCCATCCGGTTCAGAAAAGCTGAAAATCACCCGTCATATTTTACTGTTTCCTACATTAGAATTTTGGAGTATTGTGATAAATAGCAATACCGTGAAAAATCACTGAAATTATGTGTTCAGGGCATATCGCCCAGCCCTAGTCAAACCTGTTCGCTAGAACAAACAGCCAGGCAGTCAGAGAAAAAAACCTAGCACCTAGCAACAAGACGTACGTTTGGCATTTTAGAGTTACGCCCTATATGATTTATTTATTAAAATCAGATTTAAGTTTGCAGGTCATTCAATCTGTTGCCTTTTTTCATGGTTTTGAATGTATTTAAGGGCAATTCTATGGGAATTTTAAGCAAAAATGGATAATCGACATAAAGAAATAATGACTTGAATTATATTGTGATAATTATCAGTATTGTTTGATGTAAAGAAAATATATCAAGATGAAATAATGTGCCATACTGCCCAACCCTAGCCAATACCCACCAACGTGGTGACTGGGACAAGCCCACATAGGTCTCCATCCAAGGGATGATGGCAAAAGCAGCAGGTTAAAGGTGGGGCCATGCTACCAGATGCTCATACAGTCACCACATGGGGGTGGGCACCATCAGACCAGGAACAGTGGTCTGGGGACTTCCTGGGCACACACTCACCTAAGAAGATGGGCATGCTGTTCCGGTGGGAGGGCTTAGGTGGGGGGACGGGTGGCTGCTTGGCTGGCAGGGGTGCCGAGGAAGGCAAGGAGGGAGTAGCTGTATCAAGCGCTCGTGCGGGAGGCAGCATGTGGGAGACGTCCCCAGTCGGGGACGGGAGGATTTCAGAGCAGGAAGGCGTCGTGTCAGAGCAGAGGGGAGGGTTAGGCAGTAGGGCAGGCTTAGTGCCCGTAGGACTCAAGGGCAGGATGGGGGCCACAGTGGAGGTGGGGCTGATGCTGCCCCCAGGGGACTGTGCAGGTGGGTCACTTGACTGTGGGGGGGAAGAATTCATCAGTCTTTTGGGAGGCATGAGGGCTTGTCTGGGCAAAGGCTCCTTCAGTGTGTCCCGAGGCAACTTGGCATCCAGGATTTGGCGGCTGGCATTGAACTCTATAGAACAAGGAGGATCATCTGTGTAAATTCATAGACACACACGGCTTTTGGAATGCACACAAATACTGCTTTGGCTGTTCAAAAACCAAACTAGATGTTTGGCAGGACAAATGCTGATGTCTCATTAAACTCTTACTATTAGAACACATCAACAGATGTGGCATTTCAGCTGGCTTATAACACATGCCATTACATCACTGATGAATCAGGACACTCACCCTGTATATTACTTCCTCAAAGGCTCAGATTAAAGCACGATATTGATCAACAAAACAGACAGATTGTGTGATATTCCATCAGTATTGTAGCACATGAAGTGGGGAGTAAAATCTTTTTGAACCAGGAAAGTTGTGCAAATTTTGACAAAAGAGCAGTAACTCCTTGAGTCATTTATAAACACTCCAGTCTGATTATCTACGTTTCCTGATTTTCCTCAGCTAGACTCTTGGCTCAGGAGCCTCTAGTCTGGATACTGGGGCAGTGCTGTTCTTAGGCAGACCTCCAGCAGGCACCTTGTCTGCTACGGGCATTTACCCCAGACGCACCCATCCACCCATCCATCCATCCATCCATCCATCCATCCACCCATCCAATACAGCAGGGTTTCTGGGATGGCCTCTCAATGAGCCAGCTGACTGAGATATCATCCCAAAAAGCACCAGCTGTGAGGTAAGGTACAAATATTACTTCATATCATGTAAATGTTTATATGAATCAACATACAAACCAGTAAATTACATTGTTTATTTGCATCTTCCATAGGACAGGAAAATAGTAAAGAAAAGGTAATATGTAATATTTATTTACAAAATATTACAAAATATCGGGATGGCTGATAATAGAGTAGTCCAACCCTCCACCCCCCCCCATGTTTACGTGTGTGTGCGTGTGTCTGTGTGTGTGCATCTCTGAGTGTGTGTGTGCGCGTCTGTGTGTGTGTATGTGCACGTCTGTGTGTGTGTGTGTCTGTGTGTGTGCGTGTCTGTGTGATTTTAAACTGGGGGCACATAGTTGCTTTTACTGTTGCAGCCTATCAGAGTGGAGTCTCCCTGATGTCTTACCTGAGCAGCCCCTGGTCAGAGTGTCTGCCTCTGAGAGAGGACGGGCGCGTGGTGCTTCTTCCAGCACAGCCCTTGGCAGGTTGAACCTGCCCTCCATTTCAGAGTGGGGCCGTCCTGTACGTGGCTTCACATCTGTATGCAGCTTTTGGTCCCGTTCTGCAGGGCCAATGCCAGATCTTCCGTCTTTCTGCTCTCTATATTCTTGCTCCACTCTTTGCTCCCTGTCTTCCCTCTGGTCCCTTTGTTCTTTCTCCTCTCTTTTATCCTTAGGTTTTCTTGAATCTCTCAGTTCCTCCTTCTTGTCTCTGGGATCTCTCACTTCTCGTTTGTCTTTTGTGTCTTTCCTTACTTCTTCATCCTCATTCCTGTCCCTAGAATGCATTGATTCCCTATCTTCTCTTCCATCCCTTGGTTCTCTTGCTTCCCTCTCTTCTTTCCTATCCCTCTGATCTCTTGATTCTCTGTCCTCTCGCTTCTCTCTGGGATCCCTTGATTCTCTGTCCTCTCGTTTTTCTCTGGGATCTCTTGATTCTCTGTCCTCTCGCTTCTCTCTGGGATCTCTTGATTCTCTGTCCTCTCGTTTTTCTCTAGGATCCCTTGATTCTCTGTCCTCTCTCCTGTCCCTGATATCTCTTGATTCTCTTTCTTCCTTCCTCTTCCTGGGATCTTTCTCATCTGGCTGGATATGCTGCCGGTCTCTGTCAGATGGAATATGCCCTTTTTGGTCTTCCCCCCGAGGCAACCAGTTGGGCTTGACCTTTACATTTGTCTCAGAGGGTAGTCGTTTCCGTTCTGGTCCTTGTACACTATCCCTAGACGGGGTGTGACCGTTCTTCACATGGGGGTTTTTGGGGCCTTTTTCCGTGCTGCTCTCTAGGTCATAAACAGAAGACATAAGAAAAGGTAAGGTGAGGGTACATAGATCTGGGGGGTGGGGCCCCTTGGCTGCCTTTTTCTGTGACCCACAACGATGTAAGTCTCAGTTCCAAGATCAGCTCCTCTGCCATCCTGTCTGAATCTCTTTTAATTAGGATCTCGTACCATTCTCTGGGACCTCTTTCAGCAGCTTTCTGTCAATCAGTTCCTGCCTTGTCATTCTTACTGACAACTGCCTCTCCAGAACTATGGAACAAAAATACAAGAATAAACAACTTAACCAGAAAATGACAGATCATACTTCCTAGCAAGCTGTATGGTGCTTAGAACTGCACAATTAACTGGGAGTAAAACCACTGTGACAGTGATAGTTTGGAATCTAATGCATATGCATATTCAGCTGAATCTAAATCAATGGACTGAATTAACAACAAAAGATAATTCAAAAGAGCAAAAGAATAAAATGGCTACCTTCTGAAGTTTCTCTGAATTTCTCGCTAGTCTTCTTCTTCTTCCACTTCCAGGGCTTAAAGATCTTGCCAATGGAAAACTTGCCCTTCTGCTTCACAGATGGTGTGCCGTCCTCAGAACTGCCTCCGTCACTCCGCATCGTGTTGCGCCGGGAGCCGATTCCGACTTCGCAGGGGAAAGACGGACAAGGTCAGATTAAGGAACTCAGCAGCCAGGCCAGAACTGAGGGTGAATTCAGCTAATATTTCTGGTTTTTCAATCAAGTGGTTTTTGAAGGAAATAATGAGAAACCATAGGTTGGCAAAAAATTAAGAAATAATCACATACAAACAAAATCGATACAAAAAGACTTACGAATACTACAATCGAGGCACTAATGACTATTTTTCTATGGTTTAATCTATCAACTATTTTACCGATTGGTCAATTAATCTAAACAATTAATTTCCCTCCAGAAAATCTAACCCTGACCATTTAACTTAAGTAACTTAAGTTTATTTGATAAGATACATTTGTCATTTGTCAATTATTTCACAATAAAGGTGTCAGTGCAGGGCTTTAGATAATGGACGCCGGTTTTCAGCAGTACACGGACGTTATTTTCCCCCAAAATTAGTAGTATGCCTTAATAATTAATGAGAAGCGTATTGTGAGGCCCAAAAGTTAGTATTTTGTATAAATTCGGTGTACCTTTATGCTTATTTAATTCAGTTAAGCACACACATGGAGCACCACATGCTGTTGTTTTGGTAAATCATGGAAGCAGTAAATAAAGTTGCGGTGAAGAAAGAATTTAGTGATCAGTTGTTGACACTCCACAGGATACAACAATGAAATGTGTCCTCTGCATTTAAACTATATGTGACAATGTGACATAGCAGGGGGCAGCTAATTCAGCACCCCGGGGAGCAGTGCTTGGGGGCGATACCTTGCTCAGGGTACCTCAGTGGTGCCTTGCTGGTCGGGGATTCGAACCTGCAATCTTTCAATTACAAGTGTGCCTCCCTAACCATCAAGCCACCACTGCCCACAAAGGGACAGCTTAGCAGCTACAACATCTTTTAAAAGAGGAAATATTGTGGTTAAACAAGGTAAAAAGACATTGGTGGGTGGCAGAACTTGTTACTGATTAAAGCCTGACCCAATTTTTTTGGTAAATATAGTTTTAGTTTTTATGTCAGTTAATTTTTAAAATTAGTTTCCGTTTTCATTTCAGTGTTATTTTACTGTAATAACACGTCCCAGCAAGTCCGACGCGCACGAACACACTGGTACCGTCAATCAATATAGAATACTCCCGGATTTTACCTAATCTAAACATTTTCTCAAACACTTATTCAATGCAGATTCTAAGGTCGCAGGCAGACAACTTTATGGCTTTAATAATGAGTGTATTTAGTAACAACAAGGGCGAAAGATATAAAAAATTTCTCCATACTAATAGCAGGTTAATAAACATGAATAGACAACATGGTAGTTTTGCCTACTCTGGCAGTCCACAACCCAGAACAGCACCTGTACGTTTCCTCTTCAGGCGTCGCTGTGCTACACCACGGCAGCCCTACTACAATCTCCATAACTCACAAAAAAATCAGCAGGCAGACAGTCAAATATCGTGTCACTAGGGCTGCACAATATCACACTGCAATATGTGAAATTTCCACAAATACTGTAAATACTGCGATATTTATAAAACAAAAAAAAAGACATAAATAAGTTCTATCTGGTTGTACTTCATTTATCTACCAATAGTGTGTGTCAAATAAATTAGTGATGCTGCTGCGAGTTGTGTCAACAGACACAAAGCAGTGCTGACAAATGTGATGTCATTACTGCGCATGTGTACATCATAAAGCAGTGCTAACAAATGTGATGTCATTACTGTGCATGTGCACATCACAATGACGATGCTGAAACAATATATGGTGCAACCCGATGGGTGACCAAGAGCTTTACAGTAACAGAAGCCCCGTTTTACTGGCATCCAACAAAAATGGAACATTGTGAAAACTGAAACCATGATTCAAGATTGATATCTTGTGCTCCCTCATGAACACTGCGAGCAAACAGAGTCTTAGGTGATGAGTCACAAGCCACGCATTGTACCCTTGCACCGCGGCAGCATAGAAGATGGCTATTGTAACAACATTATTTACCCTGTGATTGTGGTAACTGTCGTTTAAGTTATCCGTAGGTCAAAAAATTACAAAAAATTGGAAAATTCCACAAATAAATCATTCATAAGTTTCAAACTGTGCGTCAACTGACAGGCTGAAATCTGCCAGCCCAGTGGGGCCCAGTACAGCAGGTGAGTACCCCACAATAGGCTAAGATATTTTTTAACGAATAAAATTCTCATTACAGGTTGCGTACAGGTACTATATATTACACTGCAAAATGTGTAACGGTTTGTTTATCGTTTTTCCTTCATCCTTTGAGGGGAGTAAAAAGCTTGATTTTCTTTGCTCTGTCATCCCTTGATAACATGATATTTTTTCTTTGCCATATCACAGGGATCCAGACTAACCTTCTCTACTGGTAATGCCGGCACTCCTAACTGAATATTTTACTAACACCAGCACAAAACTTAGGTGCACCACTTATGAATGAGTTGCGTTGCGTGTCTTTTTACCTCTCTTAACTGTATCGAAATAAATGCCAAAGTTTGTTTCTTTGTCACGAAAGGGTCAAGCGAAAGCAAGAATACTTGTGAACCAGACACAGGTAGATGAAATCCTGTGCAAAATCGTCCCCAAACTGCATTGTTATGATGACAATGATTTTATTGATTTTAAATCTGATTCCCATTCTGCTCATCAAATTTGGATCTTATTGATTCTTAGTTCCAAAATGTTTCAATATCAACACACTGCATTTATTCTCTTTAAAAATGTCAACTTTTACAATATAGGTTACTTGATGCAGTGATGTCATTTCCATATTTTGTTAAATAAAAAAGTGTGTTTGAAGAAAAAATAAATAAGGTTAACAACCACACTCTGAATCTTGGATATCAGTTTGCCACTGATGTCAGTTATAATCAAATAGGTATCAGACTATGGTTTGCCATCATTAATCAACTATGTATGGGTTAATTCTACATTGATTAATGATGCCAGTATGTGTCCGTGTGCCTTGGGCTTGTTGGAATCAGTGTTGTTTTATCATAAACTAAAGCTGAAACAAAAATGGACACATAAGAGATCATCAGGTGGACAGTAAAGTTCAGTTATTAGCAGACTGTTTTACTGTGCGATCCTTAAAAGGACAGCGTTAACGTGCTACTGAGGGGATAAAGTACTTTCCCTTACAATACCTTCAGCTTATCACTTGCAGTTACAAAACATTTACGTAGTTTTACACAACGCATCGACACTAAAATTTTACGTCGACGGATTTTTATAAATCGACATCGTCGATGACGTCGAATATTCGTCCCAGCCTCTACTACTAATCTGCTTATCGGGCTTAATTAATGTTGATGTCTATATACTGCTGAAAAGTCAGCTTCCGTTATCCAATCCTGCAATGACATACAGTTTGTTGTCATCAAAATAAAATTAACAAAACACTCAATTTGATTTTCTGGAGGAATTCACCAATCAGTTGAAAGACCTAGTTATAAAATTTTGTCACATTGTCTCCAAAAATCCTCTCAAAACACTACTAAATGGTCACTGTCCAGAGCCCTGTATCGCCTCTTGAGAATTAGGCTAAAACATCAGGATCTCTTTCATTTTAGTAAGGGAGTACAGTATTATTATTATTATTATTATCGCTGTATTTAATGTTGGTAATCAGTGGCGTCAGAGGGGTATGGATACCGTTACAGATTCAGGGGGGCCCGGCTTTTTGTAAGGCCCCCAAAATCCTCGCGCCCCTCAACTGAGCGATTGAAAGTGCCAACCTGGGCAGGGCACCCAAGACAACATTTTTTCAGGCGGCCCGGGAGGTCTAGCTACTCCCCTGTCAGTAACATATTACTGCATGGAATTTATCAATTAAACTATATGTATGTGCATGAAGATCACATTATATATGGGATCCACAGATGAATCGCTATTATATGCAGTAGGTCTTGGAACACATCACCCATGGATATGGGGGAACCACTGCACCGAAGAAAATTTGTGTTTCTCCAAAACTTGAATACGGAGTTCTACTGATTAATCAGCGTTCAAAAAAAAAGGTTTCTGTGGTTGTGAATAAGCAATATTTCTTTTGCTGCATTATTAATAGATGCTATGTAATATACAGTGGTACCCCAGAACTCGAACTTAATCCGTTCAGAACCCAGGATAGAATCCTAAAAAGTTCAAGTTCTGATCGAATTTTCCCCATAAGAAATAATGGAAAACCAATTAATTGGTTCCTGGCCCCAAAAAATTACACCTAAATATGTTTTTTTTAGCATTTAAACACAAAATGAACAGGATAAAACAAGAAGAGCATATACTATACTAAACACATCTAAGCACATTTATCAAAACAGTAATTTGTAAAGTAAGAAAATAAATGTATCCAAACAATGTGTAAAGTAAAAAAAACAAAAAAAAAAACAATGTGTCCTGCCCCGATCGTCCGCTCCTTCCGTGTGCCACATCCCCTCGTTAACCCCATGTGGAATCCCCGTGTGATCAGCTGTTTCTGGTTGTTGTCATTAGTCCTCTGAATTTCGTCCGCGTTTCAGTTTGTTTCCCCAGTCCGGTCATTATATTGTCCGTCTGCGTTTTGCCTGCCTTACCTGTAATTAAACCCCGTATTCCCCGATACCCTGACGTCTGCGCCTTTGTCTCCGTTCCGTCCCCGCTCAGCACGACAATATTATTATAATTAAATGTATGAATGGTTTATTATTAATGATATAAAAATAATTAATAAGAAATCTTTATTTTAAAATGTATTTTATTATATAATAATTACTGTTACTGTCTATCGTTGTCTAAATGTATTTTTACTGTCTAAATATATGTATTCAGCTAGTGTAAACATGCACAAAACATCACAGCGAATGCAAGGCTGAGACTGAAGCGTTACCCTTTGTTTCCACTGAGAGACGTGCAGCGTGACTCATTTCCCTGCGCGTATAAGTTATCTTAGGTCGGCGTTCANTCCACTGAGAGACGTGCAGCGTGACTCATTTCCCTGCGCGTATAAGTTATCTTAGGTCGGCGTTCATGATTCAACTTCTGAGATTCAGATTGAGTCCTAGGTCTTTTTTTTTTTTTTTTTTTAATTGGTTGGTTCAACTTTTAAGAAATACAAGTTCTTATGAGTTTGAGAACTGAGGTACCACTGTACTAATATGTTTATGTATATGTGTGTGTATGACTATGCAAATGCATCACATGTACACACATAGACAGAGAGACACACCTCTTCTTGGGGCAGGACCGAGTGTTGTAATGCTGAACCAAACCAGGTGTTAACAAAAAGTCTTTGTTAATGTATTAGTCACCTTTGTTCACCAGACACAGAGCAGGATTGGGAGCATCGCATCACTGCAAGGAATTATGGGTCTGTGTAGGCGTATATCTAGAGGAAACAAAATCTGAAACTATGTAATGTGAACATTAGGCCTGGGTGGCATCTAAAAAATAATACGCAATTATTTTATTGAAAAATATTTGGACAAATAATATCATGCGCGCGCACACACACACACGCAGAAAGCAAAACGTGAAAGCAGGAAATAAAAAATAGGAATATAATGGATAGATGTTTATACTTGCCAATAGGGGGGAGGGGAAGGGCTGTTGGTGCTGATTAGAATCAGAGGAACTACACGACAGTTTTTTAGTCTCGGTGGTGATCAACGGGCCGGATAAAATTATGATCTACAAATGTGTGGCGAGCCGTCTCAAAGCATCTAGAGTAGATAAATATATTTAAGACAAACTTTACAGGGGAAAGTCACCAACATGTCACCCATAAGCTGCTAGATGCCTGCAGGAGCCAATGAAGAGGCCAAGGGAAATTTTGAGAAATCGGATCCATTCTGTAAACTTATTCTTTATTATTATTAATATTATTATTATTTTTACATTTTGTGGTTTGCACTTGTATCTCTAGAGGGGGGGCACCTACTATTGCTGTTACGTGTCAACTTATTTGATATCGTAGCATCTTAATGAATCACTGGCTGACACTTTAGGGTTTTCAGAGCATGTTATCCCAGCCGCTGCTGTTAAAGTCAACAATAAAAGTTGGGACATGAGGGAATGTCAATATCTAGGAAAGTACAAGACAGGGCAAGTCTGTCATTCCAGTGGGGTAAACAGGTTGGCCAAAAACATTCCAGAACATAAGAACATAAGAACATAAGAAATTTAACAAACGAGAGGAGGCCATTCGGCCCATCGAGCTCATTTGGGGAGAACTTAACTAATAGCTCAGAGTTGTTAAAATCTTATCTAGCTCTGATTTAAAGGAACCCAGGGTTTTAGCTTCCGCTACACTAGCAGGAAGACTATTCCATAATCTAACTACACACTGTGTAAAGAAGTGCTTCCTCAAATTTGTTTTAAAATGTTCTCCCGCTAATTTCCACTTATGGCCACGAGTTCTAGTATTTAGACTAATATTGAAATAGTCATTTGGCTGAACAGCATCCAGACCCGTTAGAATCTTATAGACCTGAATCATATCCCCCCTTAGTCTCCTTTGCTCAAGGCTGAACAGATTCAGTTCCGCTAACCTCTCCTCATAAGACATTCCTCTAAGACCAGGAATCATTCTCGTAGCTCTTCGTTGCACCTTTTCTAAGGCAGCAATGTCCTTCTTGAGGTATGGTGACCAAACCTGCACACAGTATTCTAGGTGGGGTCTTACCAAGGAATTATATAAGTGTAACATCACCTCCAGGAGCAAAAGGCAGCTGGTCACGAGGGGCACTTCCCAGATGAAAACAGAGCCCATACATATGCTGACATAGCTGGATTTTGGACTGTGCAGACACAAAATACATGGGATCAAGTCCTGCAGTTTTTGTATCCTTTTTGTGGGAGGACTGCATAATATAAAACGTCGTACTGACTGTGCTGAAATTCTGCAAACCCTAATACTCCTTATTACACTTCTCTCTGAAGGGGCCAATGTCAGGCTATGCGTTCCAGTATTGCTTGTCATTGGTCTGCAACAAATAAACTACTTTTAAGTAGTTTTATTCAATTTTATTACATTTTTAATATACCTTGGCACTACAATTCTAAACTAGATAAGTAACTTCCTCGCAAGAGTACAACATTAATTCCTTAGAGCATTTAAACATCAGCAGGCGACTTTCTTGTGGACCACACCAGCTACATCCATCCATCCATTTTCCAAACCGCTCATCCTTCTGGGTCACGGGGGGTCCAGAGCCTATACACCAGCTACGATGGTTTGTTATTAGGCCTGAATTATTTTTAGGCGTGTACTAAATGGATACACACGGAAACCGTCAAATGAGACAGCCCTCCTGACTGATGCACATAACAGGGAGAATGCTTAGAGCCACGGGCATGTGTGTGTGAAGGTGGTACCAAAGGCTGTGTGTGGTAACGTACACACGGATGGCAGCCAGGGCGGCGCTGTGGGGAGCAGAGGGGTTGGGGTATTACACATGGCACCGCTAAGGCTATGAAGGCTATGAGCCGACCTCACACTAGGAAGCATCACAACTGCTGCTAACCAGGATGTCACATCCTGTGATTGATTTGACACAGACAAATATTCTGCCTGACAACTCTTACAAATGTGCAACCTCACCGCCGAGTTTTTCAGACACAAGCAAAAGTGAAATAACAGTATTAAGAAAGTGCCACACAAGTCCAGTGCATTTTGGTTAAGGTAAGGATTTAGAGAATACTTATTCTAGCTGGTGTCTGTGCAGTTCATTTCATTTGGATTGATTATTGCCTTTAATCTGGCAATATTTGCCAGGTATGCTGTGAGGTTAGTTATTTGTTCAAACTACATTACTGCAGAACAGTCAACACCCCAGCCTATGATCCATATTGTACTGGATAAGCAAACAAAGCCAGGCTGCTCTGCCCTCACTCTGTGTTGGACGTACAGGGGAGGACGGTATTAAACAGGGGCACGGGGCAGGGAAGCAGAACTTCCAGGCACACAATTCACTTCCAGCTGTCAACAAAACAGGTTTTTGTACTTAGCCCATGCTTGTCTGAAGAACCTTCTCTTCGCATACCTAAGTACACACCCACGGCAGCACGCACACACACACATATACACACACACACACACACACACACACACACACACACACACGTACATTTGTGGGGACTATTCCATTCATTTCTATGGGCATAGTCCTAATCCCAACAATGTCAACCTTAACCCCTACCCAGTCCTAATCTTAGCCATAAGTAACCAAACAAAATACAAGGCTTTCGGCATTTTTCATTTTTTGATTGCAGTCACATATTTTTATTAAATTCACCTGGGGGAACCAGAAAAATGTCCCTACAAACTAAAAAGTAATAGGTTTGACCACATTGTGAAGACATTTAGTCCCATTAATAGAAACCCACAGGCACTCACCACTGCTCTCTGCCTGGTCTTCAGGCTCCCCAGCCATGCCGCCCTGCCCAGAGTCCTCCTCCCACACGCTTGCGTAGCTGTACCTTCCAGTAGCCTCTGTAGTAGCAAGCGGCCCCACGCTAGCACGCTTATCGCCGCTAGCAGTGACACATTCCGAGTGAGACCCGCCGTCCCCGTCACCGGCAGCAGGTCCTCCAGCGGCATTCCTGTCCATATCAGAGGCTACGCTCCCAGGGCCAGCGCCTCTGTCCCTGCCGGCCCAAGAGTTTCCTATGCTAGCGCTCCGGCTGCTCTCGGTACCAACGCCGCTAACGGTAGCAGCTCTGCCCGGTCGAGCGGTTTCTTGGAGGGTATTAGCCTGTCCCATGCTAGCAGGCCCGCCGCCGACCGGCTGCCCCAGGGGACACCGAGCGGGTTGCAGGCACAGGAGTAAAACGAAGCCACCCGCCCTTCGCCTCGAGCGCTACTGTAACCTAAGACCTGACTGCTGAGTGCCAACACCCATGGCTCTCTTTCCCCCGCCCTCACCTGACACTCGCTTCAATCCTCTCTCGCTCACACACACATACCTGCACACACACGCACACACCGGACTACAGACCCACAACACCATGTACCAATATGCCAAGTTACAGCATTTCTGTCTACAGCTGCCCTGAGAACAAAGCTGAGAAGGAAGGGATTGAGTATTGTAAGTAAAGCAAGTGAGGGCAGAAGAGGTCTATTCAGGATCACTCAGTGAGGCCCCGCCCACTGACAAAAGTGCATAATTGGTCCAGCGCCACGTAGGTGTGGCCTAATGAACACTAAGTCCCCGTCCTCTGTTTGTGTGGGTGTTTCAATCTGCCTGACTAGGAAGTAGTGACATTAAAAAAAAAAAAAAAACAGAAAAACAATGCATTCTCCTGTCAACCAGTTTTTCAACTGTGTGAGGTAACAGATCCGAGTTGCAAACACATGCAACTGCTTATATTTTTCTTGTGAAACGGAGAAACAGAAAAAACAACAGCGAGAATAAAAAAAAAAAAAAAGCCATATAAAGTGAGAAGGCAGCCAGCTGTCTCTCTCACAGCATTATTATTCAGAGTCACCATGGCGCTGGCGCCAGGTGGATGTGTGGTCTGGGCTCACAACCATCAGGGAGAGCTTCACTGCTCCTTTCCCCACACAGGTGGCACTATGGTGTGTTGTTTACCATTTACATCACATCTTTCGGCTGAGGCAGAGCCACAGTCTCCTCTGCTACACATGGGAAGCCCAAGACCTACCCACAATCCACTGGGCCAACGGGGGACAGTCAAAGGAATATGAATGACTGTGTGTTCATTAATAGCAATGCAAATAGAGCTGACAGACTGGAAGGAAGACAGACTACATCCCCAGTAGAATGTTTAGCAATCCAATTCCCTGGAGGTGAAAAAGAGTCTCAGAGGGCAAAAGTCTTAGCAGAGATCAGAATTTCTGGAATGTAGAGCTGAGCAACAGTCAGTTGGCAGAAGTGAAATGGGAAGGCCTGTTTTCTCTAATAGATAGAAATCTACTGATATGAAGACAAGGCAAATGCAATGGAACTGGCCAACGAATAAGGGCCTTGTTATTAGGGCCTTTTTCTGCCACACCAGGTACCGAACTTTTGGTACTTCGAGAAAGTACTGAAAATACAGTACTCCTGGATGGTCATTAATTTTGGGCTTTTAATGATTTATTTGAACCGTTCTTTTCCCAGGGTGGAATGATTACACAACATACATCTTCAATTATTATTTTTTTTTTTTTTATGTTTAATTGGTTGCACGAGTTTGAATTTATTTTGGATTGATATGACATTCATGTAAATTTCTGACCACAACTGTATTACAGGGCTGGATGATGTACAATATTAATACCAACATCACATATTTTCTTATATGTTTAAAAATCAAAGTCTCCCTCCGCGGTTTTTGCACGAGTGCTGCATGTGCTCTCCTTGTTGTTGCGGTTTAAATCACAGAAATTTATGAACTTCTTTTTTGTTTTATAAATACCCCAATATTCATTACAACAAAATCACATCGCCATATTTATAACAAAAATCACATCAACAAAATACTTAAATGGCTTGTCATGCCATCTAGATGTAAATGTTTTTACAACCAAATTGCATTTTTTTTTTTTTTTTTACTTCATTTATCATAATTTTTTTGCAACTGTTTTCAAGGCAACGTTTATATTGTGTTTCAGTGGCAGGCTATTCGCATAACCAATCGACATTAAAGCCTTCCAAGTCCCACCCCAAAGTACCAAAGAAGTACCCCAGCTGGTTTGGCACTTTCAGTGCTGGTACCAGAAGTCAATGGAAAAGCGAAAGTACCAAAAGTACTGTACTTGTTGCGATGGAAAAGCGCAGTAAGTGGACGCAACACAGCAGCTCTGATTACCCCAGTCTGACCACAGCCCGCTCCAGACTAGTCTGTGAGCCACAGCTAAGCTGTGCATCACCTACCAACAAGGTGCCAGACGCGTCTCAGGGAGGAAGCCTGGGGGTGGACGCCTTACGTAGGGAGAAGTACTGATCGACACAACAGGACAGTGAGCATCGCCAGGCCGACATTTACAGGGACATCCACATTTTCCCATATCCCTCTTACTACATTTCTGTGGTGCAACGGAGTGTCACTAATCCAAACGTGATAACATGAACGTGAGTCGCTGCAGTGACTAGCTCCAGCAGGAATGTCTTCGGCGTAAAGTGTGACGGGTGATAAATCTAGATTTTTGGCACTATGGGGCAAATAACTTCCGGAAATGGAAAGACTCCACAACATGACACAGAAAAATCCACACAACTCATTGAACTGTGAGTTACAGGATGTCAATTTCTTAATGTCCACCAGATCCAGATCCACCAGATCATTCAGATGTGAAACCTGTTAAATTATGGACTCATTCAGCAGGTGTTCTCACTTCTACACAACTACTCCCTCAGTTTTGAATAATGGAGGCAGTGAATATCAGCCTGTGACAGCGGGAAACACTACAGTGGATCAGCTGCAGTCTGTGTAAGCTCTCAGACTCCATGAAATCACTCATTTCTTACGTGGCCGTTCTCACTGGGAGTGACCTTTACACATCAGACAGACAAGGGCAAAACGCTGCAGTATCAGCACTCGTACTGTCAAACATTTCCCAGCCAGGGCTGACTAAGCCAAAGCTGGTTCAATTACACTACCAAGTGTTACAGCGGGGGGGGGGGGGGGGGCATGGTACAGGTGTAAAGAAGGTGACAATCCACTTATGGCTCCGAGACAAAAGGGAAGACAACCGACCAACAAAAACCCAAAGGGCAGAGAACGGGCAAGGGAACAGAACTTCCAACACACAGTAATATGAACAGTGAATGACTAGAGAACAAAGCAGGACCAGGCACTTAACTACACACAAAGCTAAGAAGACATAATGCATAACAGGTGAGAATAATAACCAATTAACCAATCAATGAAAGCACAGGACAACGAGCATCAGATGGAATCAGAAATAATTAGCGAAGGAAATTAGGAAACAGGAAACACAAAAACTAGGAAACAAACCACACACAGGGGATACAAAATGGGGATAAGAAAAGCAGAACCAGAACAGAACAAAAGCAGGGCAAACTTAGGACAAGAAAACCAAGACAGAAAATAAACATGGGGGAACAAAATGCAATAAATACAATTAAAAAGATGAGGCAGGTCCCAAGTAAGACTTGAAACCATGACCAGTAACCTACTGAGTTGTGCGGTGGTCAAGGAGCTGCAGTAAACACACTAGGGCTAAGGAATTCAAAGACGGAGGAAGACAGGATGGCCAGTGACACCTACTGGCCAAACGGGGAAGAGGAGACAAGGAGCCAGGTCAGACAGTACTTTTCCTTGCAAGAAAAGTTAACTCAATAAGAGCAGGTATCACTCAGTCTGCTTTGAATCCACCAGCCAGCGTTGATTGTAAGGCTGTCCTTAAGCAGCTTGATGTACGTACTGGGTGTACGTTGCACAGAAGCTGGCCTCTTGAAGGTGTCCAATGCTATACTTTCAGTGGTAGGCTGCAGTAATTGTGTACTCTTATTGCTATTAGACCAAAGTGTGGCTTTTGACACAGCATAAGGCATCAAGGGCACTGCTCTTAACTGGTTAATTTCATAATTGGCAGACAGAACATTTAATGCAAATATTGGCAGTTGCTGTTCCAGCCCTGCAGCCATTTCCTGTGGGGTTCCACAGGATTCCGTCTTGGAACCCGTGCTCTTCTCTATACAGATTTTCCCTTTAGGGAACATTATTTGAAAATATAACATCTCATTTCACTGATATGCAGATGATACACAGTTCTATGTTCCCTTAAAGTCTAATGACTTGGGCACCTTAAAAAGTTTACTCAACTGTCTGGAAGATATTAAAATGTGGATGGCAGAAAACTTTCTTCAAATAAAAGAAAGCAAATCAGAGTTGATCATTTTTGGTCCCTCAACCATGTTTTAGGTCTCACCAATTCCATTGGCCACATGTCAGGAACTTAGGAGTGATTTCTGACTCAGACCACAAATTTCACAAACAAGTTAATTCTGTGATAAGATGCTGCTTTTTCCACTTAAAAGCCATTTCCAGAATTAAACACTTAATTCCACTGCATCCATTAGAGAGAATTATCCATGATTTTATTTAATCTCAACTTGATTACTGTAATTCAATCTATCTAGGTATTAAACAGCTCTCATTGTCACACTTACAGCTTGCTCAAAATGTTGCAGCTCGACTTCTTACCAGCACTAAAAAAATGGATCACATCACTCCAATTCTAGTTTCTCTTCACTGGCTGCCTGTTCACTATAGAATTCAGTTTTACTTTGTGATTTAACGCTACAGATTTAGGGGCAGAGTGTGGCTCAGTGGGCTAAGCCTCTGTGTTTGTGATCAGGTTGCAGGTTCAAGCCCAGCCTCGGCACTTCTGTGGGTCCTTGAGCAAGGCCCTTAACCACCAGCTTCCCAGGTGCCCAACAGGTGGCTGTGCTTCGCCGGCCAGTTTGCGCTCACCTACAGAGAGTAAGTTGGGGGAGTTGCAGCCCCAAGACTGTGGAACAATCTATGGGATAGTTGGTTGTTTTATTTTATTTTCTACTTCAGTTCATTTTGTATCAATTTATTCCTGTTGCTCTTTAACTCTGATCTTCTGTATTTGCATGTACTCTGTGCTTTGTAAAACACTTTGGTGTATGTTTGTCATCTTGAAATGTGCTCTATAAATACATTTTCCTTACATACTTACATCATTCTCAACATGGGTGACACCTAGCCACCTGATCATTTACTCCAAGCATTTCATTCCCTTAACACAGGGATGGGCAATCTTATCCGCAAAGGGCCGGTGTGTATGCAGGTTTTCGCTGCATCTCCCTAATTAGAGGACTGATTGGCTGAAGAGTCCTCACATCTGGGTTTGAACAGCTGACCTAAAGGTTACACATACACTTTGCGGGTAAGATTGCCAATCCCTGCCTTAACAAAACCATGCAGTCCTCACTGCTCAGTGACAGTGTCACCTTCCAGCACCAAAGGCCAGATGTTCTCCTACCTTGACTTTCCATCGCAGTGTCAATGTTCTGCAGGTCCTGGAAAACACAAAAAAAATGCAGTTTTTCTTAAAAGAATTATTTTTTTGTTCTTCGTCTTGATTTGTCTTTTCATTTTGTATAATGTATTTCGCGAGACAAACCACATGAAAGACAGTAATA